GCTGGAGAGAGCCTGGAAAGTAAAGGCATCAGTGGTGCCTGTGGTGATCGGACATCGGGCTGTAACCCCCAAACTGGAAGAGTGGCTACAACAGATACCGGGAAAAACAACGGACATCTCAGTCCAGAAAAGTGCATACTGGGAACAGCAAAGATACTGCGCAGAACTCTCAAGCTCCCAGGCCTCTGGTAGACGACCCGAGCTCAATGAGGGTGAAGACCAACCACCGTGGAAGGTGAGAAACACATTTTTTTTTTTTTTTTATATATATATATATATATATATATATATATATATATATATATATATATATATATATATGAAAAATGATCACAGTTGCCACAGCAATTAACAATTCAAAAGAAAAGATCACATATTTTGAATAGTACAGCCCTCAAAATGACACCTACAAACAAGAAACTGAAACACATGAAGATACTATGAGTTTACTTGCAATTGGAAACGAGCTAAAGTACTTTTCTGAATAAAATATTATTTGTAGTCAATGTAATCAAAGCAAGGACACATACTTTTTTTGTCTAAAATGTTACATACTGTGTCTTTAAATGTGCAAATAACTTTTAGAAAGGTCGTCACTGTCCGGATGAGAAATGTCCCAGAATTTTAATGCCATAGTGTATAACGTTTCAACCAAAACAATATAATTTCCTTGGAAACAAGGGAACAGACTCTCCATGAGAAAAGTTACACATTGCAGCTTTAAAGGAGCATTGTGTAATTTTTCTGGTGGAAGGTTGATGCTGTAAAATGCTTTTCTCCTTTGAGATGTTATTGCTTTGTCTGGAATGTTCCACAGTATAGCATTAAACCTTTCTATCTTCACACAGCCCACACTAGATCAAGTTACAGGTCAGATCTGTGGAGAGGCGACCCCACTCACAGTCACAATGTCTGTTTTTCTCAGTATTTGAACTATAAAACCACCTGTAATTCAATAAATCTAATGTAAAGCTGTTTAAAGTCATACTGCGGAACATTTCAGACAGAGCAGTGACATAAAGCAGGTGATAAACCCCCTACCAAAAAGTTACACAGTGCAGTTTCAATTTTTAAACCGTGAAGAGCCAAGGATGTCCCTACGCTTCAATGTCAGAATTCTGAATATTACGGGGGATTCTGAAAGCACCACAACACCGCTGTGATAAAGACACGGCTCATTCCAGTAGCGTTTTTTTATTTCCCCAAATCAAGTCTGAACTGGCCTCTTCCACTGAACTAAATGTGATGTTTAAATCTGCACCAACAGGTCGGCCATTATTCACAAATATTCACAAAGCTCCAATAAAACTCAGGAGCGATCAGAGCGTCCCTTCAAACCTCATGTCAGAGAACATGTACAGATTAAAGGGGACATCATCACAAAACGTTCAGAACAGGGCGCGGGGGTGTAACTGTCAATCAGAGACGCGGCGGGTGAGAACCATGTGCAGACAACTTCCTGTGAGCATTTCAGACTGCTGTAAAGACGAGCCATACTGATAACAGTACTGATATAGTGATAAAGTGCACTATGTAACTTTTTGTTTGGGGCTCCATCACCTGCTTGCTTCCATGGATACATCACCGCTCTGCCTGGAATGTTCCACAGTATGACATTAAACAGCTCTACTTTACTTTGTTTAGTTTTTTCATTTACAGGTGGTTTTATAGCTCAAAAATACAAAAAAAAAAAAAAAAAACAGACATTCTGACTGTGAGCAGCGTCGCCTCTCCACAGATCTGACCTGGAACTTGGTCTGGTTCAGTCTTGGGAGGGAATTTGTGAAATATCATAAGGATTGTGCACTTCTGGAAAAGTTTTGGATTTTTGGCAGGGTGTTAGGTTTAGGTCTAAGGTTTTTAAAAATCCATGGATACAAGTTGGGGTGCGCCCCCTAGTGGCCGGTGTACATGAAATGGCCTCTGATGAAATGAGAAAAGGTTGTATTCCACCTTCCTTTTGTCTTAAATTGTTGGATAATGACACTTTTTCTACTTGACTTGATAAAAGGAATGTGATTTCAATATTATCTTCCTATTTTAAGGCCATTTTCATGTCAAATTTATTGTAATGGTCATTTTCTGCTTGAGAAACAGTCCATATCTCAGAAATGAAATAAACTGTATAAAGATCATTCAGGCCTCTAAACACACATGTTCATTCTTAAAGAATAATATTGAACATGTTCCCATCATTTTAGTGTGAAAAATATTATAAAATATGTTATGCAAAAGCCTTTACCAGAAACTGGCTATTTCTGAAATCAAGTCAAATAAGGTACAGAAATTGTTTCCTGGTTCCATGAGTCGCTCCAGAATGTGTTTGACCAGTTTACCCAGGCTTTGCCATCAGATTCAGATGGTTTTACTACAATGTTGTAGAGCAGACGTTTTCAATAGGTGAGGCCTGCCTCACCTGAGAGGTACCAAAGAGCCAGTGCGGAAGCACAACACACACCAGGACTGAACCAGGACTGAACCAGGACTGAACCAGGACTAAACCAGGACTAAACCAGGACTGAACTAAACCAGGACTGAACTGAACCAGGACTGAACCAGGACTGAACTAGAACTAAAACAGGACTGAACTAGGACTGAACCAGGACTGAGTGTCAGGACAGGCTCGAAGGTGCCCTCGCGTAGCCCATCAGGTGACCACAGGCGAAAGGACCGGTATAATGCCATACCATGAAACATTCCAGACAAAGCAATAACATCTTCATAGAGACAAGCATTTGAGGGACGCTTCACCAGAAAAGTTACACAATGCAGCTTTAATAAAACAGTTGCAGTTTTTGTCCTTCTAACTCTACTTTCAGCCGCCTCGATGAACAGAAGTTATTTTTGAAAGGAGCAAGCTAGAACACACAATATGAAAGCAACGCAAAAGCTGAAATTTTTGAAGCATTACGATTTCCTTCACAAACAAAACCGATAACTGATATTTGCCAATACTGAAATTAAACTTTAAAATCCATAGCAAAGGCCACAACTCGAAATAAAGATCATGATTTTACTTCTCCCTTTTGTAAAAAATTATAACAAAATGTCTGGATATAAAATGATTGGTCGCCTAAAAAGGGGGCGTGGCTCAAAACTATTACATAACTCTGTGTATCTGACCAGAACTGCACTCCTAAGACTACACCTGTTTCTCTTAATTCAAGCAACATTTGGTTTAGTTTCTTAATTTAAGTGCAAAGAGTTGTTGTTTTTCTTATCTTCTTCACTCCTTTCTGTTATGGTCCATAGAAACACTTTTCACCAAAATATCATCATGAACATTACACATTTTGGTAGGATACAAGTCCATGAACAAAAGAATCAACTGAACTACTGAAGGACTAAAGGCCTAAAGCACACAGACAGGAGGAGGAGAGGACAATCACAGAATGAAACATGACACACACACAGAGACTGCGGTACTGAATATCGACATCGACCAATACCGATGTTGAAAATCTCAATCCACATCATCCGTCCTTACTCAAAACTATTGTGAAAACTACATATCCCTCTAATTTATGCTCCATGTTTGTGTGTAAACAGATCCGTGCGTTCCAGGCGTAGTAACTGTCACAGTATTTATACTTCCAAATGTTTCTAATGTCAAGGCTGTGTTCTCTTAAAGGTGCATTGTGTAACTTTTCTGGTGGAGGGTCCAACCAACGCTTTTCTCCATGAAGATGTTATTGCTTTGGTTGGAATGTTTCACAGTATGGCTTTAAACCTTTCTATCTTCATGGAGACCAAACTAGACCAAGTTACAGGTCAGATCTGTGTAGAGGCGACCCCGCTCACAGTCACAATGTCTGTTTTTCGGTGTTTTTTTAGCTATAAAACAACCTGTAATTGAATAAATGTGAAGTAGAGCTGTTTAATGTCACACTGTGGAACATTCCAGGCAGAGCAATGACATATGCATAGAAACAAACAGGTGAAGGAACCAAAAAGTTACACAATGCAGCTTTAAACAACCACCAGAGGGCGCTAAAGGTCAGTCTGAGAATAGACGCATCAAGAATTTCGGACTTCCGGTCATCATGCAAAGCGTACTGGGAAGGATTTTCCGAAAAACATTTTGTATGTGGAGTGAGACGTACAGAAGACAAACAGACTGAGCTGCACTTTCTTGTTCTTGTGGTTTTACAGCAACATCACGTCTTGGTCTCTTTGCAGTGGAAGGTGTTTCTTGGTGAACAGTTGGTGCCTTTCGCTTTGGTGATGACTTTTTAAATTTGTAACCAAGGTTAAGCGCTCCACATATAAAATGTTCTCTGCAAACTCGGGATGATTTAGACAGTCAAATGTTTCCTTTTTGGTTCTTCCTGTGGATCAATCCTGCCCATCACCTTCACCTTTCACTATTTTTCAATTCCGTTAGGAAGAGAAACAGTTTGAACAGAGGTTTACAGTCACACACATCTGATTCCCTTTTGCATTTATGGAGTTCGCAAACAAATTTCTCGAGCCGTTTTCCGCTGTTCATCCAACAACCACACAATTAACGATGTCCAAAACCCAGAACTAAAATATGACAATATCAGAACCAGAAACAAAAGTGATATGGTTCAAAAGACTTGAAAAGATCGACTTTGTCATTAGACACATCCCACTGGGAAAACAAACATGGTGGCTTGATGCTCACTTTTTCAGAAAATCCTTCCCAGTATGCACTGCGCAGTGACCGGAAGTCTGAGATTCTTGATGCAAAACAGATGAAACAGAGCAACAAATAAGTAGGTAGCCCCAGCAGTTTTTAGATCGCGTCTGTTGGAAAGAATCAATAAAAATGAGGTGCTTTTATTTGTTTTACAGCTGGTTCTAGTCACATTTTTAAAAGTGTTCACTACTGCCCCCAGTGGTCAGCTCATGTACAGCTCTGTTACTAAAATTCCACATGTTCCGAGGAGATGGACCAGATTATGGACAGAACATCGCAGAAGACGGACAGAACATCGCAGAAGATGGACAGAAGCGTGTGGAAGTGTGGTACTCACCGGCCAGGCAAACTGAAAGGGGATAACGACTCTGCCAGCGTCCCCCGCCCGGGCCCCTCCCCTCAGAGCGAAGCTGTTGCCGCCCAGGACTTGGGTGCTGTTGGAGCCGTAGGTGCAGGGTCCCTTGGGTGTCACCTCGCCCTGGTACTCCTTTAAACAGACGCGGATGTAGGTGTCGCACTGGTCGGCGCCGCACTGCCCCCCGGAGGAAGGCTCCTGCGCGTCACAACAGTCCCCGCTCTGGAGCACTCCCTCGGGGTTCTGCACGGACAGCACCTGGACCTCGAAGTAACCCGTGCTCTCTGACACCTGTGACGGGGAAATACAAGAATATAATTTACTGTAATTCTATAAGTTAAAGCCGTAATGTGTAACTTTTCTGGTGGAGACTCTGTTCACCTGCTTGTTTCCATGGAGATTATGTTTTCAAACAAACAAACAATACAATATAATATGATGTTAAAGTTGTGGGACATTTTTTAAACAGACAAAATACATTATACAGGTCCTTCTAAAAGTTACATGCACATTTAAAGCCACAGTATGTGACATTTTAGACAAAAAAGGCGTTAAAATGGGACTGTACTCCTAACTCTGCCCACAACCACATTTCAGATAGAGCGGTTAAACTGAGCAGGATCTGGAGGACTAAAGGGGAGAGTGAGGTATAAGGAACCGTGTGATTACTCCTGTGTGATGTCACCAACTACTTGAACTACTTGGAAGTGCAGTGGTCACTGGCAACAGCACACACTTGGTTTTGACTGTTTTTGAACACAAAACTAGTCACTACTAATGTCACTAAAACATAAATAACATCACTTCAATTCATATTTCACTAAACCTCTTGCCTCGTCTTTTCTAGTTTTGTCTTTTGTAGTTTTTGTGGACTCGAGCTGCAGATGTCATGTGAAATACTTCGAGGTGTAAATTACACAATAGTTGTTGTTGACTTCTAGATGGAACTGACAGGCAAAGGGATTCTTTTTTTTTCCACAAACTGTCACGTATCTGATGTAAAACTATGATAAATATTTAGCACAGGTACTATCTCGCCAAACCAAGCCAGAAATAAAAAATGATGAACGTCTGTCAGATGCACGGTGTAACTTTTCTGCCAGTCCTCTGTCGGTAAAAGCATCTGGCCTGGAGTTCAGATGAGGAAATTGGACTATTTTTGGGTCAAGTGGCACCGATTAAAAGTCTGTCCTGCTTTTCTTCAAAGAATAAATATCTAAAGCTGTTTTGTTTTTAATAAGAAAACTCAAATCAAATCAATATGAGAAAAATCATATTGCCCCGTCCTACTGTGTTCAAAGACACTAAACCCAGCGCCCCACAGCCACTGCCCACTCTTATTAAACATGTGTGTCTCCATGGAGACAAGGTTAATCACAATCAAATCAAAATCACTATTTTGGACATGAATGGACACGATTAGCTGCAATATTCTGCGTAAAAACGTCAAACCCTGTAGTTTAGATCCGTACAAACGTGTTCTGAAATCTGATTCTTGTACTTGTTTGTCAGTTCAAATTTCAGGTTTTTGTCATTTCTTCTGGATTTGGGCGTATTTAAAATGTGAACTTCGAACAGAATCTGATTACGAAAACATGAATCAGAAATATAATTATGATTGCAATCTTTGCGCAATGCTAGAAAAATCAAAATTTGACACTTTTTCCCACTCAGTGAGAATTTAGTTTTTCAAGAGAATTTTGAGCAATAAAAACACCTGGAACAACATCAAGTATGACAGATGTGTTTAAAGCCTTACTGTGGAACAAAGCCCAGCTGTAAACGAACCTGTCTCAGGCCAGACTCATCTGTGTGTCACTCTCAGGTGAGTTCTACCGAAAGAAATCAGAAAATGCAGAACATGATGATTATTTGAATCAAAGTTGACTTAAATCCAGCTGAGAGAAAAGCACAGACGTCTCCCCTGTCCACAAACACACAAAACACTTTCCTCTGCACGATTTTCACAAACTAAATACTGAAGTACGTCTGTCAGCACCGCCATGTTTGTTTTGGTTCTTTTGGTGCTTCACCTTTGGCTCCGCCCAAAGTTCAGTGTTGCGACGTGATTGGTCCAGCTGCCCAGTACAGCGAGCGCACAACAAGAGTCTGAACTCACAAACATCCTGAGAGTTCATCGTTCTGTGCACGGTTTCTTAATGATTTAAGATGTGGAACCACCAGAACTAAACCAGGACTTCAGTCAAGACTCAGGACTAAATCCATTTAGGACTAATCTTAGATCTGGACCAGGACTAAAGCCGGACTTGGTTTAACAAGATAGAATCCTGGTTTGACTTTCAGCTCTGCACAATGATACACACAAACCCAAACGATACACACAAACCCACACGATACACACAAACCCACACGATACACACAAACCCACACGATACACACAAACCCACACGATACACACAAACCCAACGATACACACACACGATACACACAAACCAAACGATACACACAAACCCAAGATACACACAAACGATACACAAACCCACACGATACACACAAACCCAAACGATACACACAAACCCAAACGATACACACAAACCCACACGATACACACAAACCCACACGATACACACGAATCCAAACGATACACACAAACCCAAACGATACACACAAACCCAAACGATACACACGAACACAAGCGATACACACAAACCCACAGGATACACACAAACCCAAACGATACACACAACCCACACGATACACAACCCAAACGATACACACAAACCAAACGATACACAAAACCAAACGATACACACAAACCCAAACGATACACACAAACCCACGATACATACAAACCCAAACGATACACACAAACCCAAACGATACACACGAAACACACGATACACACAAACCCAACACACAAACGATACACACAAACCCACATACACACAAACGATACACACAACCAAACGATACACACAAACCCACACGATACACACAAACCCAACGATACACACAAACCCAAACGATACACACAAACCCACACGATACACACAAACCCACAACGATACACACACACGATACACACAAACCCACACGATACACACAAACCACAAACGATACACACAAACCCAAACGATACACACAAACCCACAGAATACACACAAACCCAAATGATACACACACACCCAAACGATACACACAAACCCAAACGATACACACAAACCCAAACGATACACACAAACCCACACGATACACACAAACCCAAACGATACACACAAACCCACACGATACACACAAACCCAAACGATACACACAAACCCAAACGATACACACAAACCCAAACGATACACACAAACCCAAACGATACACACAAACCCAAATGATACACACGAACCCAAACGATACACACGAACAAACGATCACAAACCCAAACGATACACACAAACCCAAACGATACACACAAACCCAACGATACACACAAACCCAAACGATACACACAAACCCAAACGATACACACAAACCCAAACGATACACACGAACCCAAACGATACACAAACCCAAACGATACACACGAATCCAAACGATACACACAAACCCAAACGATACAACTTCAGTCACTGTCACATGTTCATCGCGTTTTATTTCTTTCTATCCCCCCATTCTCTCCTCTCTCTCTCTCTCTCTCTCTCTCTCTCTCTCTCTCTCTCTCTCTCTCTCTCTCTCTCTCTGTCTGACTGTCTCTATTCTCTCAGTCTCTCATCTCTCCATCTTTCACTCCCTTCCATCTTTCAGACAGACAGAGGAGAGAGAGAGAGAGAGAGAGAGGAGAGAGAGGGATAGAAGAGAGAGAGACAGAGAAGAGCGAGAGACACGGACAGAGGAGGGGGGATAGGGAGGGAGAGGGATAGAGGAAAGAGAAAGACAAAGGAGAGAGGGACAGAGGAGAAAGAGAGACAGAGGAGAGAGAGAGACAGAGGAAAGAGACAGAGGAGAGAGGAATAGAGGAGAGAGAGACAGAGGAGAGAGAGGGATAGATAGAGAGAGAGACAGAGGAGAGAGACAGAGGAGTGATAAAGTGCACTCACAGTGTACACCTGCAGGGGGAGTTCATGCCTAAACTACTATTTATACAAAAAAAAAAAAAAAAAAGTGTTAGGAAACCGAGAATTTGTATAAAAACAGATGAAATACCAAAAACTACCAACATTTCATCTCCTCCCTCACTTCTCCTTTTCTCCTTTCTGTTGTGCTCCCATAGAAACTCTTCTCCAAACCAAATAAACGTCTGACAAATGAACACTCCGGACGAATAACAGAGAGAGAGAGAGAGAGAGAGAAAGAGAGAGAGGAGAGAAGGCAGGAAGAGGGAGAGAGAGACAGAAAGCAAGAATGAAAGGAAGGGAATGAGGAAACACAGAGGAGAGAGGGGAGGGAGAAAGACAGAAAGAGGACAAAATAGGTGGCAGAAAGAAAGAGTAAAATAGAAAGAGAAAGAGAGAGAGAGAGAGAAAGGGGGAGAGAAACAGAGCAAGTAAAACAGAAAGGCAGGGAGAGTCAAATATATGTAGAGAGAAGAATGGGTAAAAAGGAAGGGAGAGAAACAGGCAGGAAGAATGAAAGAGAAAGGGAAAAGAAAGAGAGTAAGATAGAAAGAGAGAGAGGGAAAAAGAGGGAGAGAGAGAGAGAAATGGATAGAAAGTAAGAGAGAAAGGCTGGAAGAGGAAGAGAGACAGAATGCAAGAATGAAATGGAGGGAATGAAAGAACACAGAGAGAGGGAGGGAGAGAGAGAAAAAGGGGGGAGAGAAAGAGAGAGTAAAATAGAGAGAGAGAGAGAGAGAGTAATGACAGAAAGGAAGAGAGAGAAAGGTGAGAAGAGAGATAGATAGAAAGCAAGAATCAAACGGAGGGAATGAGGGAAGAGAGAGAGAGAGGGAGGAAGAGAGAGGGAAAAAGAGGGGAGAGAAAGAGAGAAAGAAAACTAGAGAGAGACAGAGACAGAGAGAGGAATGGATAGAAAGGAAGAGAGAGAAAGAAGGCAAGGAGAGATAGAAAACAAGAATGAAAGGAAGGGAATGAAAGAACACAGAGAGAGAGAAATGGAGAGAAAGGAAGAGAGAGGAAGACAGGAAGAGGGAAAGAGATTGAAAGAATGAATGAAAGTGAGGAAACACACACATCGCGTAAGAGAGGGAGAGAGAGAAAAAGGGAAGGAGAGAGGGAGGGGAGTAAAAAGAGAGAGAAATGTGGAGAAGAGCATTAAAAGAGTAATGGTGTGTGTGGAATGACAGTCCCTCAGATCATCTCTGGACTCTGACGACTCAAGTATCT